CTCTAATTAAATAAAAATACACTAATGTCTCCTCCAAGTTCTTATCATACAATACGATGATAAGTATCACCTTTGTGAAGAATCTGTTTGCTCTGCCACCGATCGTACTTGATAAAGGAGTCATATCCCTTTGGATCTGTTGGGTCTTGTGGGTTGCTAGAAACCAAAAAGTCTTCAACACCAGGGACTTCACGGTTGCGGAAACCATCCACAAAGCCATCCAGGATGTTCAGGAATGGACTTTGGCTCAATCGATCTCCCCTAAACCAATGGTATCGACAACGTCGATTCAAATACAGAATCCTCGATCCAATCTGGACGGGTTCATTAATTGTTTCACCGATGCAGCTTGGAGGGCTGAATCAGACATGGCTGGCATCGGCTGGACTCTTGAGTCTCCTGTGGCCACCATTCTGGAACACTCGTCGTCATGCCTCAACGTTTCCTCTGCCCTTGTAGCTGAAGCGTTGGCTTTACGATATGCAATTCTTCAAGCGATGCCTTGAACGACAAGGACGCCGTTTTCAATTCCGATTCGCAAACCTTGATTCGTGTGGTCAATTTCGGAGTCCCAATCTCGGAAATCCATGGAATTGTAGAGGATATAAGGTTTTGTTCTTCTTTGTTTATCTTTGTTGCCTTCAACACATTCCAAGATCGGCTAATGGAAAGACTGATCTTTTGGCTAAGATGGGCCCAAATTGTGTAATGGGCTAAGGTTTTATTATTAATAGAATGAGTTTCAAAAAAAAAAAAGTATCCTTTGACAAAAATGTATATTTTGTTTTTGTCGGCAATACCATTTCATTGATAAAGCCTAGTCGGCAGTTACAGAAGGGTCGAGCCCATGAAGGATTACAAGCGTCCAAAAAACTAAATCATATTTAATAAACTGGTAATGTTAAGCACGTAAATATGATTTAGCGATCAACACATGTTCTTCTCTTAGCCACGCATCAACACATCAAGCACCACTGTTAATATTCGCCGGGTACCACCGAACTCCGATTAGCCGCCGCCAATCAAACATGAAGCGATGTGAATCCTTCTCCCTTCTGCCGATCTCAATTCTAACCTAAGATATCGTCGAAATCTATCGGATCTATCACTGAAACCACTACAAATTTTCTCCGAGAAGCACCAATTCCCGGGAAGCTCCATCAACGACCACACCCAATAGTCTGATGTGGTATGAGATCCATCATTGCTCTTGCATCATCAGCAAAAAGAAAGTGATGAAGATATTACTCCTCGAGAAGTTGGAGTAATCGGAAAGAAATTAAGAGAAAAACGAAGAAATCGACGGGATGAAGCAGATATGGAAGAAAGATCGAAAGATAAACAAAACAAAACAAATCCGAACTTAGCCGGAAGTTAGATCTGATTACGATCGGAAGATTATTTATCCGAATGATTCGGAAAACGACCAAACGAAGTCGGAAAAACAGATCCGACGATTGGAATATATAGATCTAAAACTGCTAGACATAAAACAAAAAAAGAAAAACATATAAACACGCCAGACCGACGTCGTGGTTTTGGGAGCCCACCCCCATCGGCCGGAAGAACCATATCTGAATTGAAAAGTCTTTCGAAAATTGAGAGCTCTTTGTTTT